CTTCCTCTGGGCATTGACATCTTTGTAATGGCATAACTTTTGGAAAAGAATAAAACTGTTCAAGAATTTTATTAGCACCAGTGAAGTAAGATGTTCCCAAGGGAAAAGTTCAGCATATGACTGCTTTTGGATTAGGTTAACCATACTTTCATAAACATGGTGAAGGACAATTAAAGGGCTAATTTTGTTCTTTCAGTGGTTTGTAATTCTACTGCATCTACTTCAGAATAGTTTCTGATTTACAGTAGATAAAGTAAATGAATTAACATAATGGTTTAGCTTTATTGAGCTACATAAAATTGTTTCAACAAAAACAAATATGCACTCAGCAATGGATGCAGGAAGGCTCAATTTTTCAAAGGGATCTAATCCTTATGTATAGATTTGTACACCCCAAGTAACTTTCTTACAAATTATGCATGCTTATTGATTGGCTTCTAACATTTTGAACAAGGAAGTTATGGTTAAAATGCTCAGATTTATTTGTGTGTTTAATTTACCTATTTTCCTGATTTCCATACACAAATATAGTTGACTCACCATATTCTGAAGGTTTTGTAGATGAACAAATAATGCTAACAAAATCAAGAGCATAAAATTCTACTGGGATAATCTGGACATGTAAGTATAGGAATAGCTTAAAAACTTAATATTAGTAAATCGAAGTAGTAGATGTACACACACTCTCTAAATTGGAACAAAAAAATCACATTCCTTTGTTCGGTATTGGATTTTCACTCAGGTGCACCAACTGACTTGATGAGATGTGTATGAACTGTAAATTTAAAGCAACTTCAAAAGCAATTCACAACTTCCCAAATTACAGTGGTTTTCAATATTCTCCTAGTTTCCTCACGTTCTTGAAAATAATTTCATTAAATAGTTTGCTACAGCATAACTGCTCTTTACTCAGAACAATGTGCTCTATATTTGGTCGCTTGGACACCTGTAAAAGCTTTTTTTCTCCAAAGATGGATCTTAAGTAATATGGCTTCATTATAAATCTGCTTCTGTCATCTGAAATATAATGTGTCATCTTGAGTATAACAAGGTGCAGGGCAAAACAGCAGTGATACATGTGTGCCTGCTGTCAACCTTCCATGCCAGCATAATACCTCACTTGGGATACAGGGATTTTTTTTTTTTTTAACACAAGGAAGTTAGAATGATTTTTTTACTGTGAATTGTTAATGGCCTGCAAATATCTCCTGATTATTGATTATGTTTGTCACTTTTCATTCATGGTCTTTGTATATGAAGCATTTCATTTGGTTATCAGATAAGATACAAGTGAATGATACATTTACAAAGGGACAGAATTTAGTGGATATATTTGTGCATTTTTAATCAGAATGACAGCTGGTTAAACCACCAAAATGATGAGTGCTTAAAATTTTTCCTTGGACATGAATTATCAGCCCCAAACAGCAAAAACTCAAAATTAAGATTCTGACAGTTAAGCATTCTCTCACAGTTAAAAAAAATAACATACTATTTAGCTGTGCATTTTGCTTATGTAGATAATTGCATATTTCTTATCACTCTTACCCTCATCTTCCTTCTCCAATTCCTTCTTACTTTTTATTCTGTTAACTCAATGAGCTTTGTTAGGTGACTGATTTCAATACAACTACCAGTATTCACTACAGTCAAATCAGTGTGTGTAAGACCCCTCCCCCCTTTACATGTTACAGGTATCACACAATTAATTGGTTAATTGTGCAGTTACCTTGAGATCAGCTACACATGCAAAGTAGCTATAATTGCCATATAAACTCCAACCAGTTATAAAATTAGTAGGGGTGTACTGACAGAGATTTTTGGGGCCAGTAGTGATATCCAGTTTTTATGGAGGCATATACGCTGATACCAATCTGATTTCTGATAAAGCTGCATGCAGCTGGCAAGTCTGTTGTAGTGGAAGGGGAAGGAAGGGGCGTGGGGGAATAGATCAACTCTCCACCCCTGCGGAGAGGAGGGGAGTGGTTCCTGCCACTGTGTGAACCCCGGAAGGGCATGGATGTGCCGCCAGATCTGCACAGGGCTGGGTGGGTGGGCTGCAGCTGCAGGCTGGAGCTGAGGCTGCGCTGGGTCTTCTTTCTGGGGGCAGGGCTCAGGGTAGGGGCTATGGAGGGGGCTGCAGCCACCCCAGATTTTGCCGTAGCGTTGCTCCCAGTGACACCACATATCCAGCACAGCCGTGGCTCTTCCCAGCTCAACTCCTGCCTCTCCCCACACACCGGGAAGAGCCAGGGCTCCGCTGGATGCACGGCAGAGGCTGCTCTGGAAATGGTGCTATGGCAAAATCTGGGGTGGCTGCAATGCTGTCTGTAGCCCCTGCCTTGAGCCCAGCCCCTGGTGAGAAAAGTCCAGTGCAGCACCGGCTCTAGCCCACAGCTGCAGCCCGCCGACGCAGATCTGGGGGTACATGCCCCCACCCCCGTGCAAGCAGCAGTGAGAGCCACCCCGCGACAAACCGTGGCTCCTTCCCATGCCCCACCCCAGCTGGGCAGCATCTGCCTCTGCACCCCCCTCACCACAGGCAGGGGGTTGATCTGCCCCCGCCACACCCCTTTCCTCCCCCTTCACCTACCATCACAACAGACTTACCAGCTGGAGGCAATTCTCCACACTGCCGGGCTCTGCTCCTCACTGCCTGAGTGCTGCGCTGCAGCTGCACATACACACAGGCATTTATTGGCCAAATTATTGGCACCATCAGGCCAATTTCTGATACACTCAATTTTCTTTATATCGATATCTGACCAATGTATTGGTGCATTTCTAAAAGTTACACCTTGAAAACACGTGCTAATTTTATAGCTGGTTGCTGTCAAGCTTTAATTTGCATGTGTAGCAAGTTTTCCCTTGTGGCTAGAAGTCACATCACGTGAGGAAGTACCAAGCGTGGGGATGCACCATGTTCGGCCAGAGCTCAGAGTTGTACTATATATATATATATATATACTAGAAAATGGTATTTAAAGGTCTGTTTTTTGGGAATTGGCTTATAGGGGGGTGTGTGTGTGCGCGCACGTGCATTATAAGGGTTCAAGATGGGCAGCATGGGTTAATTGATTTCTAAGGAGCTTGGGTCTGATGCACAGTGTTTCATAAAGCCTTGGAAGCAGACAAGCTGTCTATCATGACAAGGCCAACAGACAGATACAGCCTGAGAACTGAGGAGGCCATGCCATAACACAAGATCACAGGCTTCAGGGCAGGCAGGTTGTCTAACACAACAAGAACACAGTCTAGAAAATAGCCTGAGAACCAAGAAAGTATGTACATGAGATAAGTGACACCAACTACAAGGCCCCAGAGCAGCTGCTCCAAGGCTAGGAACAATAGACCAAATTAGGAGAAGGCCCAGAAGGCTACGTGGACATTTGACCACAAGAGACAACCAACCAGAGATAGGCATGGATGAAGAGTCATCAGGAGTCATCAAAGGGAAGGAGAAAATAAAGCAGAGACTTGAGAATAAAAAGGGGTCCCTCCTTCCCTTCCTTTCTGTCCCTCCCCATTCCTCCCATTTCTCCTTCCTGAGAGGGGTCCCCAAGGCCACCGTGGACCGAAGGCATACCAGCAGACTGTCTCCTACATCCCACTGGAAGGGGGCTGTGGGTCTCGGCATCCCACCTCCAGAATGCTGACATGCCATGCTGACATCTGACACTTAAGAAAGACTCAGAGTGGAGCCTGCATCCAGATGTACTTTGACTCGGATGACAGCCCTAGGATTTGGAAGATATATAGAATTTCTTGATTGTTTGCATTGCTTTTTGTCTGTTATCACCGTATATCAATAAATTTGCCTATTATCGAATGGAAAGGTCGTGGTCAGTCTAAGGGTGTGTCCCCCTGCCCTGAACAAGGTATCTGGATCCTAACTCCAGAGCCAACAAGGGGGTGATTGCAAGCTGAAGACTTTTACCTCTCCTTCTCCTGGAATCACTGCTAGTGGTGAATTTGAAAGAACCAAAGAGATGGCTGGAGCACGTCACAATGCCAGAGCCACTGCAATTGCCACTCCTCTTTTGCTTACATGTGTGAGGTGCCTGTCCGGGTAGGACTGCCCGCTGTTGAGTCTTCCACCTAGGTCCTGGTTTGGTGACTGTGGCTTCCAGGTTCCTTCCAGTGACAGTTAAGAGGGGGAATACCTGCAATATGAGTGGTGCTTCCTCGTGGTGTCCCCCAGGTAGCAGGCAAGGGAACTGAAAAAGGAGGTGGTGAGGCTCCAAGGCTAGGAACAGACATTCAAAAAGCCAGAGCCTGAATTGATTCAACCTTTGCAGGTTAGTCTAATCTGCCTAGTCTAACCCAGTTCATAACAGGACAAACATTCTCTCTGGACTGAGGCAATGTAGGCACATGCCTGCAGGTTCTCAGGCCAGGAGCTGCGGGACACTAGAGTGTGCCCTCAGCTGCAGGGAAGCTGGGGGGGCATGGCCAGTCAGGGCTGAAGTGGCCAGAGAGGGGTTTAAATCCCCCTTCTCTATCCCACTAGGACCCCTCGTTGCTGCAGCAGTAGGGCACCATGACCCCTGAGGCAGAGCAGGGCAGGGAGACCTGCTCTTCCTCAGGGGTCTCCCCTCTACCCCAACTGGCAGCTAGGTCTGCCCACTGTTGCCACTGTACTCCCTGCCCAGGAATAGGATCCTGCTGTCCCCTCTGCTGACAATGGGGGTGGGGGTGGAGGAATAACCCCTGTCCCTGCTCCCCCCAGGGAACCTGTCAGCTGGCATCTGGCCATACCCCCACCCCACCACTGCAGCAAGAGGGAGCAGGGCTCTTGTTTGG